TCCACACTCACCCCTACCCTGCACTCTCAACCCACATCCTCTCACTCACTCCACACCCCTCACCATTCACCCCCTTCCTCCCCACTCACCCCGCTCCACCCCACACAATCCCATCCTCTATATTCACACCCATCCTCTCCACTCACCCCCGCCTGCCCCACTCACCACCACCCTACAACAGTCACCCCCACCCCTCCCCATTCAGCCCCTTCCTCCCCACTCACCCCGCTCCACCCCACTCAACCCAATCCTCCATATTCACACCCATCCTCTCACTCACCCCCACCTTTCTATGCTCATCCCCCTCCAACTCACCCCCTTCCTCCCCACTCACCCGGCTCCACCCCACTCAACCCCGTCCTCTATATTCGTACTGATCCTCTCCACTCACCCCCAACCCACAACACTCACCTGCACCCCTACCTACTCACCCCCTCCTCCCCCACTCACCCCATCCCTCCCCACTCCCACCCCTCCCATCCACATTCACCTCTACCCTGCACACTCACCCCACATCCTCTCACTCACCCCCAACCCTCTATGCTCATCCACACCCCCCACTCACCCCGCTCCACCCCACTCAATCCCACCCTCTATACTCACACCCATCCTCTCCATTCACCCCCATTCCTCCCCACTTAACCTACCCTTTCACACTCACCCCTACCCCTCCCCATTCACCCCACCCCTCACCACTCACCCCACCCTCCCCACTCACGCCCACCTCCTCCCATTTACCCCCTCCGTGCAGTCCACACTCATCCCTGACCCTCCCCACAGCCCTCCCCTGTGACCACTCTCACATGACGGTTCTGGACTCTGGTGAGTCTATTGCCATTAGTGGGCATTGCTCCTGCTGATGTTCACAGCAAGAAGAGCCGCTGCCCTTTGATTAGCCAGGAGGGTCTCCGTGAGTGGGATTGCCACCATTAGGACCTTAAAGTGCAGGAGTGGACACTTACAAGCTTGGAGGGCATTTGATACTCTCAGGTTATCCCTCCAGAATTGACAGGTGCTCCCTACCAGTTCACCCACTGGTGGGAGAGGCCCACATTACGTGACAGAATCCCGACAAGTATATCTCAAAAACTAATGGGCGAATTTCAATACAAAATGGTTTATATGCTGGATGATACAGTGACTAACTTTTGGCTAAGATGTAGATCCTGATGCTGATCATGGAATGTTTTAAAGGATCCATTAATATTCGGAGATAGGTTGATTATGTTGGAATCTTGTGAATTGCCTCAGTTGCTGTGTTGGAATTTATCACCCCCACTGGCAAACATGAGCAGATTTTTCAGGTCAGGTTATTGGATGTGGATTGTCCTGCACCTCATTAGTGCATTTTTCAGCTTTGTAGTTATAGAAAGCCAAACAGTCAGAAAAAAGCCACAAGGAAGACTTGAGTAATTATCATAACATTGAGGAAACAGAGGGACATGCTCTCTCAGTGTAAATAGCATGTGTTATTTATATTGTTACTCTATCTCATGCTCTCATCCTCTCTTTCTCTCTATCCATTATTCTCTGTGTAACTGATATGTGTTATTTATACTGTCACCTATTCAGCTATGAAACTATGTGACACTTGTGTTCCAGACTACGACGCTCATTGGGCTCTTGAAAACAGCTCGCCTCCTACGGCTGGTCCGAGTTGCTCGCAAGCTAGATCGCTACTCGGAGTATGGGGCTGCAGTGCTCTTTCTGCTCATGTGCACCTTTGCTCTCATTGCCCACTGGCTGGCATGTATCTGGTATGCCATTGGCAACGTGGAGAGACTCTATATGGTTCACAAGATAGGATGGCTGGACAATCTAGGAGATCAGATCGGAAAGCGATATAATAACAGTGATGCCTTGTCTGGACCGTCCATTAAAGACAAGTATGTGACCGCTCTTTACTTCACATTCAGCAGCCTCACCAGTGTCGGATTTGGGAATGTTTCTCCCAACACCAATTCTGAGAAAATCTTCTCCATCTGTGTCATGTTGATTGGATGTAAGTGTCATTGCTTTTCATTTGGTTCTTGAAGCAAAGGATGTCACTTTCCACACAATCCCGTCACTTTCTACAACATCCCCATGACTCTCTACATTGTCCCCATCACTCTCTAAACTACCCTCATCACTCTCTACACCATCCCCATCGCTCTCTACTCCATCCCCGTAATTCTCTACACCATCCCCATCACTTTCTACACCATCCCCGTCACTCTCT